CAGTTCCCGGGAGAGGTCAGAGCGCTGCTTCTCAGCTTTGGCCCTGGAGGCCCTTTCTGCCTCGATTTCCTCCTCCAGTTCCTCAATGCGGGCCTAGGATTGAGTGATATTTCAACATTAATATAAGTTCATAGCAATTTTTTATTTCTGTAATGAGACCCAGAAAAGGTGGTGGTTATGCCTTACCTGTAACTCCTTGATCTTTTTCTGCAGCTGCATACCAAGGGCCTGTTCGTCCTCAATCTTGCTTTGCAGATTGCTCATTTCAAACTCTTTCCTATTGGAAGAACAGCACATTAGCTCAGTAAATTATCTTCTGGCCGTCATTTCTATGTGCAATAGAACTTTATTATATTAATTAATTAGTACAGACTTAGTAGGACATACTTTACAAATAACCATCTTCATCAAGTAAAAAGCCAAAGTTGACCTTATTAATTCTTGGCATATATTGAAATAAAATTTAAAACATATTCTACCTGACTTCTAACCACCAAGCAAGTTACAGTTGAATTACATTTTACTTACTTTTTGAGTTTCTCATCAAGTTGCTGCTTGTCATTTTCTATGTCCATTGTGGATTCTTGGGCCAACTTTAGGTCACCTTCCAATTTTCTCTTGGCTCTTTCTAAGTCCATGCGAAGTTTCTTTTCTTGTTCCAGAGACCCTTCAAGCTAAATGTATAGTGGAGTTTATATTATTTTTTTTAAAGCTTTGAGCCTTTGATTCTAGCTTTCACACATATGCAAGGGCATTTTAAAAAGCACAGCAAATAGCATGAGAAACTGCGTTAACCTTTATAAAAGTTCATTAACATCAGTGACAGTGCCATGCTGTGATTGCTCATTTTATCTTAAGGAAAAGCATTTTGTTTTCCAAACTTACATCGTCCACTTGTTGCTCCAGCTTGGTTTTGGCCTTGGTCAGGGTGTTCACTTTGTCCTCCTCCGCCTGCAGGTCATCCAGCGTCTGCTGGTGGGCCTCCTGCAGGGCTTTCTTCTCTTTGGTCAGCTTTGCGATGTTTTCATCCAGGCCTGCCATCTCCTCTGTGAGGTTTTTCACCTTTTAGATTTGAACAAGGATATAGCAAGCATATAAATGACATCTGTTGACTCAGTGGAAAACATCGTAATTTTTTAGAACAATATCAGCCACAGGTAGAAAATTGAAACCAGAAGTCAAAGCAAGTCTATGTGGCTGAAAAAAGTAGGAGACATGGTCCAGGTAAATGGATAGGCGTGGAGGAGGCCAAAATGATGATGTAATGTGATAGTATTTTTCTCTCACGTGTAACAATTCTGATTAACCTTTCATTTGCAATACTTTAGTCACATGTTAAATGTGTACCTTGTTCTCTGTGGCATGCTTCTCCTTTTCAACCTTGGCCAGTGTCAGCTCAAGGTCATCAATATCTTTCTTCAGCTCTGAGCATTCATCCTCCAGCTTCCTCTTCTTGGCCGTCAGCTCAGCATTGATCTCTTCCTCATCCTCTGCCCTTTCGGTTAACTCTTTGATTTTTGCTTCAAGTTGGATTTTTGTTTTGATCAACTGGTCGCATCGTTCCTCTGCATCAGCCAAGCCATCTGCTTCCTAAAGGGGGAAATAAACATTTTCCTTTTTCTAAGCTATATGTACAGATAATTATTAAATGGAAGTCACTGAAACTTCATTGACTCAATGTGGTCAACATATACGACAACCTTTTAAAATCAAATAAACAAAAAAAAATGCAGCAATTTTACTTTACTTAAAGAATTAGTAGTAGATTCCCTCCAGATACTCATATGTGGAAAGCCAATCATGAAACCCAGTCTTGTGGCAACAATCTAAAATTTATTAACCTTTGTTACTTCAGAAAAGTAATATATGCATCCTACCACCAGATTTTATTACATTTAGCTAAAAGATCAATTTAGCCTTTTTCTATCCTGGTAAATGGAGTCTAAACTTCTGTTAATTGTACAAAAATATATTTACTAGTAACCTCTCTAAGTAGCGAGAACGCGCTTTATAGCCAAAAAAGTCTAGGATATTTTTATGACTTTCCTCGCTGATAACTATGTATAAATATACAAATGAATTTATACACCATTATATATGGTTTTACATCTATTGCTTCTTTATATCTGAGATTTGGTAAATAGGAAAGGCAAAGTAAACTAGAGAAAACGTTTTCCTAGAAAACAAATATCTGTAAAGCTCAACTTAAACAGCTCTCAGATGCAGTCCGTTAGTGTTCAGGTAATGAGATATGGCTAAACTGTGAAATGTGTAATACTCACAGATTGAACTTGAAGTTGCAAATCATTTTTCTCTTGCATCAGAGCCACCATTTTTTCTTCCAGCTCTTTTCTTTTTGCCTCTGACTTAGCCAGCTCTTCTTTGGTCTTCTCAAAATCTTCCTTCATGTTGGCCATCTCCTTCTCAGTCTCCGCACTCTTGAGCAGAGGCTTGATCTTGAAATACAGCTTCATCCAGGGCCAGTGCTTCACATTCATGAAGGCACGGACGTTGTACTGAATGCAGAAGATGGATTCTCTGTAGAGAAAATGCAAATGGAAAAGAATGTGCTAAGTGACCGTGTGATCAAATGCAATGACCACATTCAATTCAACTGTGAAATTGTGTAGAGGACTCGTGCTTGGTCTCTCACCTCCTCTCCATCATCTTCTTGAACTCCACTCTCATCAGGTATCCTCTGCACATGGCTTGTGTGCGTGTGATGAGTTGAGCCAGCTTTTCATCTCGCATTTCCTCTAGAGTTCCCAGAAGACCAGCTTTAAAGAACACCTTGTCAAGTAACAAGCAGAATGGGTTATTTCCACTCATGAGAAAGCCCAAAGATGGAGAAATTGTTACAAATAAAAAATTTCAGTTGATGATACCTTGGTGTGACCAAATTTGTACTGGGTGTGGTCAATGTCAATAGACCCTAGAAGCTTCTCAGAAGCTTTCTTGCTGTCAATGAACTGACCCTCTGGGATAGCGCTTGCATTTAGAACCTTGTATCTGTCAGAATAAAAGGAATATGAGAATATATTTCCCTTCATTTACACAGAAAAAAGGGTAGAACACTGAATAATTGTCAATGGAAGGACTACAGATTGACATGTGTAAAGAACAAAATGCTATTACAAAAATCATACAGACCTTTACGTAAGAAGACATAATGAAAACCTTATGATAGTATAAACCAGTCTTCTTTCTTTTGTGAGCACTTTTCAGGTAAATTAGTTTTCATTTTAAAGAAAAACTTTTAAATGCTTGAGCTTAGTGGTGGTTCCAGTATGCACTGTGACATGGAAATAAAACTATAAAGGACAAATAAGACAAACCTCTGTTTGAAGTCTGCATAAAGGATCCTGCTGGGGAACCCTTTCCTACAGATGCGGATGCCTTCAAGCACACCGTTACACCTCAGCTGGTGTAGCACCAGTTCATGCTCCATGGCACCTAAAGGAACAAGAGATGTTTTCCGTGTAATAGTTGAGTGAGAAGTCATACTGGAGATGTAGCTATCAGATATAGATGTCTATTTATGTAGAGATCAGAAGTATCTTACCAGGAGTTTTAGTTTCATTGGGAATGAGGCAGCGTACAAAGTGGGGGTGAGTACTCCTCAAGTTGGTCATCAGCTTATTTAAATTCTCCTATAAAATCATATTAAATGTTTTAACAAAACTTCTGGTTGTGTCCATGTACAAATTCCTATCAATGACACACACTTGATCAGGCCACCATGTCAAAGTTTAATGAAGCATCTCAGTGAAGGACAAATTAAGAAAATCAAGAGGAGCCATACAGAAAGAGTAAAAGATAGGAAATGATGGGTTATATTAAAACCAGGCGACTGTTGAGTCTTTCTTTTTACTACCAGTCAGAGATCATTTGTCCTGAGGCTTTGGTCAAATGGAGTAGATTTAACTGAAGATGGTAGTTTGAGTTTCATTTGAAATTTTTTTTCAATATCAGACCTACCAGATTTTTTTTTCTCACAGGCCTTTTAGACTCATATTTCATAAGGTTTGATTTGAAGAAATATATTATGGGCCTTATTTTTTATAATACTTAAAGTATTTTACAGGGATTTTTTTCAAGTATATTTTTATTTTCTCACCACCCCCACCCTGGTAATTATTACTAAATTTTTTAAACAAAAAAATTCCCCTGGAATTCAAGAATACACTGTACCCTGAAAAGAGCAGATACGGTCTGGAAGGAAGAACCCTTCTTCTTGCCACCTTTCTTTCCACCACCACCAGCCTCTGGAAAAATGAAATAGAAAAGGTGATTTGCAGCAAACTTCCAGCACTATTCATCTACATAAGGACTGCCAAAATTTTCTTTGGAATTTAATTTGCACTGATTTTTTAACACCGCTCCTATTGCTCTTTCCTTATCCAACTATAAACTAAGAGTGCTTCTGTTCTATCTCCTGGTTCACTGCTCTGTTGCTGTTGTAGACCATTCATTGCATTTGCAACAACTCATAGCTGACCCTCCAACAGGCAGAGATAGTAGAATTGCATGGGAGGAGATTTCCCATGGAGCAGTTGGTGGACTCAAACCAGTGCCTTTGGGTTGGCAGTGCAACTCCTTATACCTAGGCCATCAGCACTCCTTAGTTTACTGCTTAGTGTCTGGGATCTTTAAAACTAGCTCTTAAGATCCAAGGCAGGGGAGGGGAGAGCAGACAGGAGGGGATGAGTGGGGCAGGGGGGACTTTAGCATAGGGTCACACAAATTGATGGTTGGAGGGAGGGGTGGGTAAAGGAAAGGGAAAAGACTCGGTGTGGAAAACAATGTATACAAACTTTGTAAGTAAACCAGTATAAAATAAAAATTTTATTTTAAAAAACCCACAATGTATATGAATGAAGCATAATGTAAAGAAATTATTATTATTATTTTAAAAATATACAAAAATCCCTTGCAAGCATCCATTCAAAGCACTTTGGAATAAGAGAATATGAGAGAAGGAAGGAGGATCAGGAATAGAAGCAGAATTGGAATGTGTGGCTAATTGTCTCCCTGAACAACTGACTTCTTTGCCATGAGACCAAAACTAAATGGTTTATACTTGCTATTATTATACATCTTCATCACAGGTTCCATAAAGAAATTATGATCAAAAGGGGGGAAATACAGAAAAGATTTTCAAATTTTCATAGACTCTAGATTTTCTGGAGTCACCTAGGTAAATGTATCCCTGAAACTATTGCCCTGAGACTATCTTTAAAGCCTAAGTGAAAAATACTTCCTGAAGTTTTTTAAAACTATGTCATAGTTCAGCTCAACAAGTTAAAAAAAGTGTTCCTTGAGCTCTTTTAAGAAATATATAAGATTAAATGGATAATAGGAACTCAAAAAATTGTGGGGCAGGGATTTATCCTAATGAGAGAGGAACAATTCAGAAAAGGAGGATGAGAACGGGTCCACTCAATAATATAATAGTGTGACTAACTTCTGCAATAGAAACTATTGAATTGGTACACGTTTTGCATGTCCTTGATGATAACAACAAAATAAAATTTAGGAAAAGAATGTAAGCTTCTGTTCACACTATAGGGGGAAAAGGATGTGAATTCAAAATATAGCAGGTGGGTGAGTGTAGAAGTGTGGTATGGCACCATTCTAAATCAACAAAGTCCAGTACCAGAAGGAAATAGCTAGGATATTCTGCTACATTGCCTCCGTGGAGCACTCCCTTTCCCTAAGAACAGTAGAAGCTGCATGCTTGGTCCCTAGGTAGGTAAATCTGTAGGCAAATCCTCTTTCTCGTGTTACTTGTACTTCTACATAGTCAACTTGCACTTCTGTTCTACCTAAGAGAATAGAATGTCATGACGCTGTTTTATCTTCAACCGAGCTTGATATTTTAAGGAGCAAATACTGTTGAAATGGTAGAAGTGATTTATGTGATCCTGAGCAAATCACATGATCTTTCGGAGTCCCTCCTTCAATGGCAAAATAAGGCCGTGGGACTCAGGGATTCCTAGTGTTCATTTTAGTTCTGCAAGATTGATTTTAGGACTGTGTCACACTTGTTAAATATGCTTCCTTTTCTTACATCCATCTTGGCCATTGTTATTTTTCATTGTTAGTTTTTCTGTAACTACACTCTGTATATTTCTTGATTGTAATTATTAAATATTACCTGCTTCAGCACTTGGTCCTCCGGAGAACAGGAAAGCCAGAGTCTTCAGTCCAGACTTCTGGTAGAGCCCCACCACGGTCTCATTCAGGGGGTCCTTGTTCTTGTCAAGCCACCCGGCGATGTTGTAGTCCACGGTGCCAGCATAGT